AGACAGAAGCAGGATTGACCTCCTTCTTGATTCACAATGTCTGATGTCATTTCTGCGCTCAGCCTCACAGGTTTGACATAATTCTATAACTGCTTTTTATTATTATTATTATTTCTAAACTTTTAAAATGTGTTATTTCAAGCTTTTTATTTGAGATGCAAGCAGTGCCTTGTGCTTTTTGACTAAACGCAGGTCATGGTGGTGCTATTGGAGGAAGATCAGGCAGAAAAGAAATCCCTAAGAAAGCTGAAGAATCAAAAAGATTCGCTTTCTTTCAGCGATGGAAGTTTGCAACTCAACACTAAGTTCCCTTTTCTTTTAGGTACAGTACCATGCAAAAGTATTTCAGACAATCTTTAGTAATGCAGTCAAGGTGATCATACATTGCTTTAACATTTTCTTTTTTACTTATTCTACTTGTGGTATTTTTAATACAAATTCTTAATATTATCTTTACATCATTCAGAAAATAACAAAGTTGGGCTTAACTTTTCAATCACAGGTCGACAGATTAGTTTGGTGCAGTTCTCTGAGGTTCAGAAGCACATCATGCTTTCTGTCCACATGCCCAAATCCAAAGCCAGCACTGTCGGCCTCGACAGCTGCACCGTCATCTGTGTTTGGAACATCTGGGAGCCATCCAGACCTCAGAAGATACTCATCTATGAATCAGAGGTTTACATTTACACAATCTAATTTCAGCTTCTGCAAAGTCTGCTTGACTTTAGAATAATACTTGCCTTACAGAGACATTGTTATGTGCCAGTTGATCGAAGTTTAACCAAAATAACTGAGACAAGAACAGCCAAGCTAATAAGACTGACAAAAAAATCCCAGAAAAGCCACTTTTAACACGAATAACAGTGAACGCTTGTAACGTTTTGCTCCTTGCAGGTCCAGTGTTGCTGCTTCAGCCCAGGAAAGTCCACTCTGGTGTTTGCAGGAACACTGGTTGGTTCTGTGGTGCTTTGGGACCTGAGGGAGTATGCCAGCAACCATTACAGATTAAAGATTGGTGATGATGAGTGGACCTTCAGACATCCGACCTTTTCTACCGGTATCTCATAAAAAGTTTTATTCACTTAAAATTTTCATTAAACGCAGATTTTTCCTTAATATTTATTTTCATGTGAAATATTTTAGAATTTTTTTTGTTCTTGCAAACTTGCACCAAATGCAGGGGCACTTTAAGAAATTAGATGAACACACTTGTTTCAGTATTTCAAAACATAAAACTCATAAACTGTCTGGATTAAATCCAGGGTTTTGTTTTTGTTGATTTTGTGGAGTATCCCTTACAGCATCCCTCTAGCGCACGTTGAGTACTGACATCTTGTCTTTTGTTGTTCTGTCAACACAGATGCAGTGATGTCCGGCTCAGGCCATGTTTCTCCTGTCACCTCCATAGAGGTCGTTCCCTCCTTTGTTGCTGGAGGAGCAAGACCAGAGGTCCCACTTTTAGCCTCTGAGGAAGGTGTGACTTTCTTTACACAGTGACTGAATAGTCTCCTGGAGAGTGTGTCATTATTTCGTTTTTTCAACCCGATCAAAACCAATCAACTAAAATTATATTTTTATCACCCAGAATCATCAGGATTGTCGTTCCAGCTTGCCTCCTTGGATGAAAGCGGGATTTTAATTTTTTGGGTAGGTTAGGCAACAAAGAGAAACAAGTTTAATGTAGTGATCCAGAGAGGTGCAACATTGTAGCGTTTTTTTTTTGTTGTTGTTATTTATTAATTAGTTATCTTCCTGTCCAATTAGTTTTCTCTTAAAAACTTAAACACAAATTTCTGGAATATAGTATACAAATAAAAACCTAAACTTACCATCCCAAAAGAGAAAAACTTTGTTTAAAGTAAAGACAAAACATGACAAGTCAGTAAAAATGCATGAGTTGATTCCTTATCTGAATTTGCTTAAATCTGAAACTCTTTGCAACAGTTTAGAATTTTCTTCATATGTTATCAGGATTTTATGTGAAAGAACATCACAAAACAATGTGTAATTATGAAATGAACTTTCTCCCTGACTTGTCTGCTTTGTTTCTTGGTCTTCGTGATCATGTTTGTTTATTAATGTTCTCTACCACCTTTTAAGGCCATGGAGTTATGGAATGAACTCCTGCCTCCTGAGCCACTCTCACCCCATTCATTCCTGGTTAGCTGTTGTGCCTATGTACAGATCTGCATAAAATATAAAAAGATTCCCTGAATATTGAGTGGAACATCTGAAAATTTGTTTGGAAATTTATATGTGAACATATAAATCCACTAAAGTGTAGTTTTGTTTGGTGTCATTATTATTCATCAGGGACCTTTTCCCCCAGATACTGACGCTTTTATGCGTTTTCTTCTTTGCATCCTATAGGTGGTGACGGAGCTCCCTAAAGGGAACGAGGCAGGCTCGCCAACAGATTTAGGTAATTGAGTCATATTTTATAGGCCTCCCTGTTCTATCCAGTAAACATACTCATATTTCTCCCACACGTGTTTTGGCCTTAATTGTGTCTTGTGTTTCCCATCCTTCAGGTCTCCGTCCTGGGGGAAGAGTGAAGCTGCTTCACAGTTCCACCCTCCTCACTGTTCCGAGGTTAGATTGATAAATAGCTCATGATGAGCACTCGTCAGCCGCTGGCCTTAAAAATACCTCACAGTGACTTGACCCATTGGGACGCAGCTGTTCAGTGGTCACATGATTCAGTGTTTGTCCCCTCAACATGTCTCTGGAGGTCATGTACTGTACAGGCTGGGGGGACATGATGTGACGGGAGAGTTTGTGAGATCTAATGTTGTGCTCTCTTCATCTCCAAGGCCATCACTAAAAGAGGCCGCAAAAACAAGGCCTTTTCAGATGCTGCTTTTAAAATACCACCCGACAGACTCCAATCATTTCTTTATTGGCACCAATCTGGTGAGCAAAATGTATCAAATTCAGACTATTGATCCCTAGTTCCTTTTGGGAGTTATTTTGACTTCCTGTTTCTTTCCAGGGTCTGGTCAGACATGGAACAAGTCACGGTCTGAAGGCTCCTCCACAGTTTTACAAGCCCCAGGAGATGGAAGAAAGAACTGTTGACATCAGCTCAATCCACTTTTCTCCTTTCAGACCAAATCTCTTCCTGGTAGGAAGTGTTCCTTTTCAAATTGAATCAGTTTTAAGACATGCAGCCTTCTGCACATATACTAGTGCTGCTTGTTGATATACAAAGCACTTATGTTAATCTTTGATTACAGTATCATACTTTCACACTGAAAAATGTTTGAAAATGTTTACTTTTATTTAGGGACAATTGTTCAGATTGAAAGCAAATTGCATATTATGAAATTTTAACAAAATTCTTACTCCTGAAATCATTGGTACTCTTCAAGATTCTTAGCTTGGAAAAGATTTCTCTAAATCAAGACAATAATTAAAAAGCTTAAGATTAATAAACAAACCAAATTACACAAATAATATTTCCCTTAATCTATTCCCTCTTCTTAAGAAGATTTTTCTCATGTTACTCTGAAATTATGAATTCTAGGTACTTTGGTTCATATTTTGGTGCAAAGGTGTACTTTAGTACCTTACTGTGAGATTTTTCTTCCCTTTCTGTAGGTGGGCTGTGCAGACGGCAGCATCAGGATGCATGCAGTCAGCCATGATCAGCCTGTGGCAGAATGGATGAACAGCACCAGTGGAGAAGCGGTGATCTCGCTGCAGTGGACCCAGACCAGGCCTGCTGTGTTTTGTGTCCTTGACGCGGCTTCTAACCTTCACATATGGGACATGTTGAAAGATGATGGACAGCCTGTTATGACAGAGACATTTCATGCTGATAGGTAAAACCATTTAAATGAGTGACATGTAAAACAAAAATTTCATGCCATCCTGTGTTCATATTAGCTGTGTGCTTTGTGTTTTTAGGGTATCAGCTGTGGCTGTGTTTGGAGACTCAAGACAACAAAACACATACTCAGGAATTGCGCTGGCACACGAGTCAGGAAACATAGAGCTACATTATTTCACTCAACCTTTGACGTTGCCCATCCCTGCAGACGAGGGAAAGTTGGAAACCTTAATGACTGAAGCCTTTTGAAACCCTTCATCTTGACTTTATGCTAATACCAACTCACTTTAGTGTTACTTTAAAGGTTTAATTCATTTTTAAACACAGAAGGAGAAAAAAGTTCAACTAATACAACCTAGTTAGACATCATCCTAAATACCTTGCTGTTTCTTTATTTTCTTTATAGTTTAATGTGAAATTGAATAAACATGGGGTGAACATTACAGTGAGGGGAATGCTGTTAATTCATCAATTGTCCTTAGTTTAAAAACAATGTTGTACACATGTTTGTGAATATATAAAAATATTTATACTTTTTGGCTGTAAAATATTTTTATTACAAAGTCTGAGTTATTTTAAATAAATGTAGTAAATCTGTATCCTACAATGGTGGGTTTTATTTTTCCTTTTATATACATATCACACCATAGGTAATGTCATGTGTAAAATTTCTCCATTTGACTTAACCCCACAGAAGCAGAATTAGGTAAGACACTAACTGCATCATGGGAGAAGAAGTGGAGATGGTTGAGCAGTATTATAATAATAATAATAATAATAATAATAGGGACAAATGTGCTGTTTCCTTTTTATACTTGTATAATAATAAGGATTCAAGGAAAGTCAAAAACAATTTCAGTGCATCAAACAAAATCATAAAAGGTAACACAAAAACTTAATACATAGCACTGGACAACAACAGAGTGTCTTCAGGTGGAGGCTTCTTTAGATTTGCTGTAACACAGACTGCAACAGGAGATTCTGTCAACAGCTATTAGCATCTACTCTGAAGAACCTTGGGGATGTGCGTTACAACATTTTTTTCATTTGGAACTAATAAAATATTTTGGAATGGAATTCTATTTAAAATATTTTTGAAATAAAGCAAGGTTTTTGCAGCCAAGTAGCTATGGTTGCTGAGAAACAAGCAGAGAACAAGGGAAACAATTTCAAGAAATACAAAGTGAGAGTAGTAATCTGTATTCTTGCAGCTCAAAGAGATTCAACTTTTTGAATTTTATTGTTTATTTCTTTCTTTTCTTACTTTTTTAAAAATTTTACAAATTACCAACAAAAAAATTACAACATCAAAGATTCACACCCATTGGATGTTGGATGCCTATGCATAACTCGGTATTGTATTGCACTATTATCATTAATATTATTATTATTATTATTATTAGTAGTAGTAGTAGTAGTAGTAGCAGGTGTAGCAGGTGTAGCAGGAGTAGTAGCAGTATTATCAGTTGCACAAGTTAATCATGAAGAATTTGAGGTAGAGAAATGACTTTAACTGAAATGAAGAATTTCAATACACTTCTATCCACATTGAAGTTTACAATGTGGATTCATTGATAATTCAATTCACTTGATTGTTTTCACTTCACAGAGTGCCTTGCATTAGTTTCTTTGTAATGCAGGTATGGGAACCATTTTCTTTCATTTTCCTTAGGATGAAGTGCACTTGTTTATTCTCAGAACTTTACAAGCAGAAAGATTTAGAGCAGAATCACATCTCAGTCTTGGAGAACACCACCCCCTGAAGACCGAGTCATTTTGAGGTAGTGGCTCCAGGACAGAACAGCAAATTATCCAAGGTTCAGCATAGAAGGGGTTATCTTAGCTCTCTAAGATGACAGAACCAACAATACATCAAGCTGAGAAATTTCTCATTTTTGATAAAAGGCAGACTGGAAACAAGGTAGATCAGCTTGAATGTGGTTACCAGGAAATTATTGCAGTAACTATCAGTAAAGCATTCTATTTGTGTCTGCAGATTTTTGTCCATGAAGAGGACGAGCACTTCCTTGTTCATGGTTTCTATCACTTTAAGCATTTCTCCTGTGAAAGCCCAGTGCGTTTCATGTTACACTCCCCTGCAAACCATGCTTTCATCAGCCTCCATACAGACAACAAAGTAACCTTTTACAGACCTAAATGCTACAGGGAGATAATCTGGAAAAAAATGCCCTTTTTGGGCCTTACTCCTACAAAGCTCCTGGGATGGATAATAGGCTGGGGTCCGGGTCCCATCTTCACTCTTCTTGACAACGAATTGAGGCATTTGGATACTGCGGATAACGCTCTTGATATTCGACTGTGTGAGGCGGTGGAGCATTCTTGGGAGATGGTTACTGCAGGCATTGGGAATGTGTGTGTGTGGTCGGTGTTGCTCATGAGGTGCAGAGTGATGATACAGGAAGGGCTGCAGCAGAGAGCTTTCACTCACATGGCATTGGCTCCTCCACAGAAGAAGAGGCCTCACTGTGCCATTGTTGCATGTGGAAAGGATGTGACTGTGATCGACCTCGATAATGGGATAGTTCTGGATCACCAGGAGGAACTCGCTCCAAGGTCTGCAGGATCATAATGATGTTATGCAGTTTTTGGTTTTGTGTTATCTCTGCAGTTTTACCTTTGTTGAGCTCATTCTTTTGTTCGAAATCTCATGCACCGCCTTAGAAGCAGGAGCATGAAAGCATATAAATGTCTGAATTTTCCTCAATATGAAGAGCTGCAAAATGTAAATGTACTTGTTTTACTTTTTTCATTGTCTTAAATTACAACTACAACATATATGTGTTATGTGTCCTACAAAATAGTGCATTTCAACAATCTTTTACAAATAACTTTGCAGTTGTATTTTGCCCACCAGAGTCAATGCTTTGTTAAAGAAAACAGCAAGCTCAACTTGTGGTAATGGCAGTTCCAATGTCAGCTGCCAGTAGGTGCCACCGAAACAGTTGCAGCTGACACTGATTGAACATAATTGTGGATAAATTTGTTTCAAATAGATAAATATAACAAAATAAGAATATTATTTATCCCACTAAGTTCCACTGCTACCGAACCGAAGTAGTGACAAGCAATGGCAGCTGACATCAAAACTGCCACTTTACATGAAGTAAGTGCAGTCAAAATAGTAGTCAACATAGGTCTTACATGATTTAATAACGAATAATATTATCATTTCAAAAATAATTATTTACAGACAATATAACACATTTTGAGAAAATCGTCATTAGCATTCACAAAACTAGCGGCAGCAACCATGAAAGCTCTGGCATCCTTGTGTCAGCTGCTGAAAGTCGCCACTACTAAGCTGTGGCAGCTTCTGGCTGCCACTGTCCCAAACTGAGTTCAACCTTGCTGTTGTTAATCCACCTTTTACTTTGATTGCAGCCTCTATTGCTACTGGCTTTGCACATCTAGGCTGAAATTTCTCAGTTGGAATTCGACTGGAGCATTCCAGGACAAAATACATTTTTCATGAATCATTTTATTGGTTTGTATGTCTAGTGATGAACCTCACCCCCCCCCCCCACCCCCCCTTCAATTATGTGCTATTTTGTGTTTGTCTAGCATCATGATTTTAGTAATGACAAAGAGTAGAAAGTGAAAGGACTTTAAATACATTTTGCATGACACTTGATGTTAATAATCTATTTTTGACATAAATTTTGGTGTAATCAGCAGTACTTTACATCATTTTTATTGAAATCCTATCTGTATGTTTTATGGCATGACTTAGTTTTTCCTTTTATTTAGTTAGATTTTTTAAAATTTAACCTGTAGCAGTTCAGGTTAAATCATTGTTTTATATATGTTAATTTGAAAAAACGGATCCTTACATAATAAGCTGGTAAGTTATTTAAAATAGATATAGGTGTTTTGCTGAGCATTGTTTTAAAAGACTTTTTCTGTCACAGTGAAATCACCGCAATGTTGTTCTGCACCCATCTTAACTGTTTGATCACTGGTTTCGAAGATTACGCCATCACAGTCTGGGGTCTTGACTGGGTTCCATGTGTGACTTTTTTTGGACATGATGGTAACTTTAAGATTAAACTGGTTCAGGTTCAATATTTATTTAAATAACCAATTGACTTCATTTTGTTTAACCTCTATTTGTTTGTTCTACTTAGGTGTGGTGAATTCGTTGTTCTATTGCTCCAAATCAAACCTGCTGATCTCATGCTCTGCAGACTGCACCATCCGTAGCTGGGATGTAAAAAGGAACTTGGCAATCGATTGTTTCCACACAGAGCATAACAACCCACCACTGTGTTTGGGAGGCATAAAGAACGAACACCCGTTTTTCTCTTTCTCAGAAAAAGGTGTGGATCTTTGGTTTCTAACAGCTTGGTACACACTCCACACGAAGATCAAAGGAGATGAAAACATCGCATTGAAACACATCTTAGTCTCACATTTGCCTCCTTGCTACCCAACCCGAGTGACTTGTGTCAGTGAAGATGATCATATCTATCTGGTTTCTGTTGGAACAGAAGAAATACTGACTTCCTTTAAGGCAGGAAAGAGGGTATTATGTGCTGCCTACTGCCTTCAAAAAGAGCTTTTGTTTGTCTTGACTCAGTGTGGTTCGTTATTGCAAGTCAACCCCCTCACTAATCCAGCCACTTTAATACAAGAATGGGAAGGCAAAGGCCAGGCTCCCTGGACATCATCAGACACTATAAGTAAAAAGGATGTCCTAAATCTGCCGGTGCCTGGCCCCGCCTGTTGCATGGTAATTTACAGCTCCTTGGGAGACCCTGAGAAGGCTTTAGAGAAGTGGAAAAGTTTACAAAGTAGGAGAGGCAGCATTCATAGGGATACCAAACAAATTGATCATTTCAAGAATAGGTAAGCAGCTTCTCTTCACATAAAAGTAGTATTTTGCCAGATGTATTTGTTCACTAATCCAGATCACTAAATTGCTTCCATAACGAATAACGAATAACATTATCATTTCAAAAATAATTATTTACAGACAATATAACACATTTTGAGAAAATCGTCATTAGCATTCACAAAACTAGCGGCAGCAACCATTAAAGCTCTGGCATCCTTGTGTCAGCTGCTGACACAAGGATGTAAATCAAGGTGTATAAAATCCAGAACTTCAGCATGCAAATTGCTTCTACAAATAAATTTTCCTCAGGAACTTAGTGAAATTTCAGTGTAGTATCATAATAGGATGCCCCCTGTACAACAAGTCCAGTCATTAAATGTCCTCCCTGCTGAATATTTTAAAGTCAGGTGCAGCATGCAAGTTTTGTAAATAGTATGTTGTTTACATATTTGATAGAGCTGTGATATTCTGTGAAAAAAACTATCAATCAAGTTTGTGTTCATGCTGTGCTAATGGTGGAGAAGCAGACATATGAAACTGCACAAATTAAAAATGGGATGTCGCCACAGGAATGTATGTGAAAGCAGATGAGTGAATACCTATGGTATTTATGGTAGTGCATTTGAATTGCTAGAAGTTGTTCTATTGTGTAATTTTTTTTTTAAAATATTTTGTGTTTTAATCAGATTTTGGGTTATCATTGGCCAAATTGGTGGCTGTGTGAGTGTCCTCGCAATGGATGATGGGACAATCCTGTTCAGAACCCCCGCACACAACGGCAATAATGTCACAGCAGTGAAGGCCTACCCGAAGAACAACTGCCTCCTCTCCTCGGGTGAATTTAAATCAAATATTTTTATATCCTCACACGTCTTTTTCAAAGAAGGTTTGATTACTTTACATCTAATCATCAAGGTGCCGACTTCACGGTGATCGTGTGGAGAGTTCACCCCGATGCTGCAACATGTCTCACCAAAAACCAGATGGTGATATGTTATGAGCGTCAGGTTTACCTGGCGGCACTGGAGCTGTATGTGGCCCTGGAGTTTCAAGAGCCTAACAGCAACTTCTACAGCCTACAACTCTACCATATGGAAAACCTGAAACGAGCAGAATGTCAGCAAAATAATGCACATATAGATTCCCTCACAGGTCACGGCTTGGTATAACCTCTACATGGGAAACTGCAAAGGAGATTTTTACCCGAGTGACTCATTTTCTTGGTTTGTTTTTGTTTTGCAGGAGTGTGTGCGATTCCTGAAATAAAGGCTTTTGCTTCCTGCAGTCTGGATAAGACAGTGCGCATCTGGAATGAGAAGAACAAGCTCATTTGGTTGGACTTACCTCACATCTTCTTTTTAACTCTGCTTTATTTTATTTCCCAGAATGTTTATATGTTTTGGGTTCGGGTTCTGAAATTATCCACACTACTTGAACTTTTTCCAATTTTGTCACATTGCAACCAGACTTCAATGTGCAACTCTGTGAAGGGAAAGCTATTAAATTTATACCAAAAGAGTCCAAAAGTAAAATATTTGATCATTATGCAAGTTTAAAGAGATAAAGTTCACATTGCATCGCCCTAACCTCCTTTGTGTTGGTATACAACAAAATAGGAACAAGTTCAAAGGGCATTAATACTTTTGCTAGACATCACATATTTTAGAATAAATATTCAAACACCATGTATTTTGTTTTCAGGGTGCAACAGCTTGTAGCAGCACCTCAGTGTATGGAATACAGTGGAAACGGGGAGCTATTTCTAGGCATGAATGGGGACCTGTACAGACTAGAGTTTGCACAGTTTTTACCAAAGAAATACCGACGAAAGGTGCAACTATTGGCAGCTTATTATATATCTAAATTTAAAAATTGCACACAGGAAAGTTTTATTATCACTATGCCTGACTTTATTTCCAGTTTCGCTGCTACTATTTTGAAAATGTCCTTCCTGAGCTGCCTATTGCTGAGGTTGAAGAAACACCCGACAAAGAAGAGTAAGACAGGTTCCCCTTTCAGGTTACAATAATAATGCAATTATCTGAATAAATTTTGAGCACTTTTGAATTCTAGCACGTCAGTTGCTGAGACAGAAAGATTAAAGGAAGCTATCATCAGCAATGAGGTAATGAACATATACCTGGAGCAGGAGATGGTGAGTATATAAAAGGGCACATTTTAAGATCTGCTGAACACAGTAATAATTAAAATACCTGGTTCATAAATACATCCACCTGTGTCAGGAGGCGACAATGATCATAGACATGGATGCGAAGGCTCTAATAAAGGGAGAAGTAGTTTGCACACAAAAGAGAACTCACAGTACGAACAAAACCAAGAAAGAGGCCTTTGACCATTTCATGCGTGAGTTATACGGATTGTCACCTTGTGAGCAGGTATATTTCACCGAAAAACGTATTGTTTCACCTGATTTTCTCAAACACTTGAAAATAAATTAAACTGTCAAACAGTCCAGCATATAAACCTCTAATATACTAGACTAGTTTTCAATGATTCTCAAAAGTATGCAAGCAGGTCTCTCTTGAAATGTAAATCTTGGATCTCATTGAGACACCCTGTTTAAACAAAGGCCAAATAAATACATTAATGCACATCCCATTTAAATGGCCAGGTTTGTGATGTCAAAAGACTGGATGAATATGACATATATGACAGATCCTTTAGGAGTAAAATGTATTTTTTTTTAGATGAAACACCCTGCATAGAAGGAAGAAGTGGGCAAGTCCTTACACTGCCCATTGTTGATTTGTTTGAACTTTCCATAATGAAATTAAAATTTACTTTCTCAATGATTTTTTTTCTGACATTTTCTCATTTGCATCATAACATGTAAAAAAAAGGCCAGGTTTTTGGCAACTGATTGCATGCCAAATTTAAGGTGGAAAATGTAGAGAAATCATTTATCAGCATCACTCACTCACTCACTCACTCACTCACTCACTCACTCACTCACTCACTCACTCACTCACTCACTCACTCACTCACTCACTCACTCACTCACTCACTCACTCACTCACTCACTCACTCACTCACTCACTCAATTTTATTTACAAAGCACCTTTCATACTAAAAGCAGCTCAAAGTGCTGTTCAGATCAATAAGAACAAATCCACAAAAATAAACAATTATCCACATTGTACACCAGGACACCCTGTTTATTTACGTGCAAAATATCTGCGTTTTTTTTTTTTTTGCTACTTTTAAAACAATTTTATGTTAAGCACATTTGCAACAATCATACTAATTTGTGTTATTGGCTCTTAAACACTCTGCTTTTTCAGATTGGTGAAGAGGATGAAGAGAATTTTGAAGATATTATAATGGCGACCAAAGCACGTTTAATGCGAGCCATTTACGTTCCAAAGCCAAAACCAGTGGTCCATCCTGCAGTCACTACTGAAGAGCCTGCAGAAACAGAAAAACAGGTATAAGCCTTTTAAGAAAAAGAACATTATGTCTAGTAGTAGTATCATGAAGGTCTCACTTATTTTGTTTAGAACCAATTTACTATGCACACAAAAGAAAACTCACATAAATTACCATAAATGTTCCTCTCCAGTAGAATTTCTGAAGGAGAAATTCACCACTTTGTGATCTTGACATCAAGCACATTTGGGTTATGTAGCCATAATCTAAAGAGTATTCCTCCACAGTGATGTTAAAGAGTTATTGCATCATAGCGGTTGTTTCTACCAAGAGGGGGACAACCACACTTAATTATTAGGTTTGGGTGTAGTCCATTTTCACAATTAGAAATGTTGTTTTGGGTAGATGTTTTTCTCCTAATTGTCATTAAATTTGTTTAATAACTTTTCTAAAGCACCGTATAAAATAAAATCAAAAAATATCCAGGTTTCGAAGAAAAAGGTGGCCAAAAAGGCTGCGACTGGTCCACAGTTGAAAACTGTGGTTGCAAAACAAGCACAAGCCAAAGTGGAAAAAATGGAAAAGGTTAAAGGAAGATATACTCAGATGGATAAGGTAAAAGCAAGACATATTCAGACATGTTGGGACTGGAGCAGGAAGTGGCTCTTCATCAGACTTTTTCTTGCAGGTTAAAAAACTCTCCAGTACAGTGGAGTCAATCCAGGTGACTCCACAGTTCCGGCGGAGTCCACAGAAACCCCAAGTTCCAAGTATCCTTCTTCCTGTCCCAACACCAGCTCAAACCCAAAAAATTTCCCAGGTTACTCCATCAGTCGTCAGTCAGTTTTCAAGAACGGAATGGTTTTCTGATGTGTTTCCTGACAGAAAGGTGATAAAAAGAAATATAAAAATACATGCATCCTTGATGATGAATGCTGCTCAGGTTTAGATGTTTGAATGTTTGCAGCATATCGGAAGTGACACTACTTCTGAGAACGTCTTCCAGCAGCTACTAAAATACGTGCAAAACTCCAACGGCAAAGCAAATTCCAAGGTCCTTGAAGCAGTTCGTGCAGCGAAAGCTCTGCAAAGCCAGAACCTCTTTGATGTCACAGATAAACAGTACACAAACCTCACTGAAGCTTGGGAGAAATTTATACGGCCATCAATGGTAAAGTGAAACCAGTATTGAAACTACAGCTTGAGTTACAACTGACAGCTTTGCTAAGATGTTGTTGTTTGGCTTTTTTGTGTGTTTCAGTCAAATCAAGCTCGCGAAGTGGTTGTTGAGATGTTAAATTTGCTGGTGGATTTGAAACCGGAAGTCAGTTCCAATCTTGCGAAAAAACTTATAATTTTTATGGCAAATAAGGAACTGAATCTCCAGTGAGTTTCTAACAGTATTAATTTGGAAGATAAGTGGTGTTTTTTGTTTGTTTTATCAAGAGACGGAAAAAAAAAATCCTGCTTCTTTGTCGATAGAAGACCAATATTACGCCTCATTGAAGGTTTGAGTGTGCATCAGGCACATTTCCTGGAACACGAGTTTCAAAACTGGGGTGAAGGACTGGAGAGCAACCCTAACAAGTTGGAAATAATTGACAAAAAAGCAGACTGCTGGTTGGAGAAGTGGACCTCAAAATTCAAAGTTAGTTCCTCTTTTCATTTTGTTCTTATCTTGTTCCTCCAACAATGTCAAAATGTATATTTTGTTCACTATTAAAATTCATAAGATTAATCAATTTAATGAATTCATTAGTTAATTAATTAAAGGACAGGTCATTCACCTTGCTCGTGTGAATCTCTATGCAGGGAAGTTAAAATATAAGCATTTTAATTGTATAAAGTGAGAATATTTGCATTTAATGAAAAACAAAACAAAAAAAGAACATAATTTGCGTAAATAAATTTCTGAAATGGATGTGGAGGTGCAGGCCTTATGTTAAGTTGATGCTGTTGAATGGATGGGTGGAAACTAAACTACACATTTGCATGCAAATAGATATAAATAATGATACAGCAATAATAAGGAAAAAAGGGGGAAAAACACAAAACTACAGAAAACATACCATAAATGATTATTTATATAATTTGTTTCCATTCTATGCAACATAGGTCTATAACCGCTTTCAGAATACTGAAACTTCATCGCAGTGGAAAAGGCCCTCCTTCAGCGGATTGGATGTCCTGAAATTTTTCTGTTTGATGAAAAAAGAAGAAATCAGAAAGTCCTGCTTTATTCCTGCTGTCAAAAAATACAAAGTGCTTGTGCCTCAGGAGAAGTGGTATGTGAATGTACTTTTAAAATAATTGTTTTTCTCTGTAGATTGCAGACATTTTTTTATAACATTCAGTCGAACTAACTCTAGATAAATTTTTCCATCTGTAGATTAAAGTAGTTTTACCTTGTTGCATTATTTTAATCAAATTTCTAATTCTAAGTTGTTTCTGAATTTCAGAGAAACATTTAGACAGAAATATGAAATGTTGTTATTGTGGAATATAGTCTGGTGGATAAGTTAGATAAATATTACATTTAAAAATGAACTTTATGAATTTCTGTACTGGAAATACTTCATAATTCACTATCCCACTGTACTCCTCTGGTCAGTTTTTGATTGTAAGCTGAGGTAAATAGAGTGCTGAATAGTTCAATGGTTTTCTGATTACTATTATGTTTTGTATTTTTGGCAGGCGTTTCAAACCACTTTTTCGCTTGGGAGAGACATACACCATGGCCAGAAAATGGAGAAAGACAAGATACTGTCAGCACTGTCATCAAATACTTATTATTTAATGCCTCAAAAAGAAAGTCAACTTCAAATGTGACTTGTGTAATTGCAGGTTTTTTTGAGCCTAACTTTCCCAATTGGATCCATCTGCCTCTGTCTCGTGTCAACCTGCGTCCGTTTCATACAAACTCGTATGAGCGCTTGGTGAGGCTCCCTACCCGAACCTACTTCATCCCTCGGCAGTCTACAGGGGAGTACTACGAGCGAAAATTCAAAATCAGTCCTGTAATGACCCCAGCAACGCCGCCCCACCGCCCCGCCACTCCACCCCCAACTCCTGAATTACATCTGAATTTATTCAACAATAAATAAAAGTAATAGTTGCTATAAGTTCAAGTAATTTTATACTTTCAGAATGAAAGTATGAAGTCGTCTTTCAAGGTATACTGTCCTGCAGCATTTTGTTCACCTGGTGAATGGACTCGGGTCTCAAACATGCCATAGCAACATTCAGGGCCTCTTAAACGGAAGAAGGAAGTTAGAAATCTTCAATGACACAGCCATTAATGTTTTCTCTTTTTCGTCTTTCCATAAAACAGCAAATGGAAACCATGAATTTGATATAAATACTTATTGAGTTGGAGGGCTGCACAGTGGCGCAGTTGGTAGCACTGTTGTCTTGCAGCAAGAAGGTCCTGGGTTCACTTCCCTGCCTGGGAACAAGTTTGCATCTTCCTCCCATAACATGACTCTCTAAATTCTGAGTGCAGACAGGACAAATTCTTGTTTGTCCTGTCTGTACTGTGAACCTGTGCACTGTGTACCTTGCCTACCTCGCCTCTGGGGTACACCCAACTAGGCACCAGAGTGAACAGAAAATGGATGGATGGAGTTGGTTGGAAGTAACTCCACTTCAAGGAAAGATCTGCCTAGGATGCAGGAGTCTGACACAGAAGACTATATTGAGCATATTCAAGGTGTGTGAATCTGTTAAACTTTATATGTTAAGGTAGTGTTTCAAACTGATCTGTGTTTCTGAAGTGTGTGTTGCTGACATCTTGGCCAGGTTGACCTTGTGAAAAAGGCCTCAATGGTCTTAACAGGGGTTTTACCTGATTAAATAACGGTTAATAACAAATAATAAAATATTGTTCAACAGTGATATTATTTTAGCCAGATTTTTTCTGTCACCCACCACCTGAAATGGATTAATTAACTAATATATAAACATTCTTTACTAGTAATTAGGCATTTTCATTTTTATACTGGGCATTGTAATACAAAACCGTCCAGGCAATTTCATAAAATTATCAAATTGGAAAAAAACAATAGATGTTTGAAAGGATTTCAAACTTTTGCTTGACTCATTTTATTATTCTTTAAACTCTTTCCTGAACGGTGTTTAAACGAGACTGTGTTAGAAATGTCATTGAATTGCCTTCGCTTTTTGAATGAACAGCTCTTTTTTCCGATCATATTTTGGTAATAGTTTATTTCTATTTTTAATTTGTAAACAAGTAAAGTCATTATTATTATTATTATTATTATTATTATTATTATTATTATTATTATTATTATTATTATTATTATTATTATTATTATTATTATTATTATTATATGTTTTTTTTCACATTCCGCTCTGGACCCTGCGGGAATGCCTGTGCGTGTGACGTCACTGCCTAATGTAAACACCTTCTCCAGTAGCAGCCGGCGGCTCTCAGAGTTAGCAAACATGATCTGTCCGCTTTCCACCGTGAGGAATGTTTAACTAAGCCTGTATAAGTTATTTTTGCTCTCTATTACTGTAGCTGTGAGATGAAGTCATGAAATCTTTTTTTCACTAGACCATATCTAGTTGCTGCCATGAACTTAGCCTTGTTCAAAGTATATTAGCTCAGCTTAGCTTCCTGTCAGATGTATTAACAGACCGTGGCACAGATCATTTTTCCTGCTTTTGTGTAACATGGTGCATTCATTGGTGAGCCTTTGTGCCAGAAAGGTGGTCAGTGACCACAGTTCGTCACCCACCTGGCTTCGATGGGTTCCCAGGGAGCTTTACGGGGCGCTACTGGAGGCCGCCTTCGCCTGCTGCAGACCTCTGTCGGTGGGCGAACTGGTGCAGCGATGGCCTGAGCGGACTCTGCGCGTCGGAGGACGGAGGAAAACTGGGCAGACTACCCCCAGTCGGCTCTGTATCCAGGCTCTATTACTGGCTGTGGTCAGAGGACTGGCGGACCAAAGGTGAGAATTGACTGTTTTTCTGTTTGTGGCGCAATGAATGCTGTTCCGTACAGTTACCTTAAACATTGTAGTTTTTTTTATTGTCAGCTTTATTGTTCACAAAATATCGCAATAAAATTCTAAGTCCACATTGCCCACCCCTAATCTCTACACCCCTTGAACTTTTTCACCTTATGTCACATTATAACCACAAACTTCACAAACATCACATAATCTGATAATCTCAATTTGCAATTATTAACGTTTTTGTGTTGCCTTATTACACAAAATTCTAGGAAAATGCATTGACATTTGTGGTTGTGTCATTGAAAATGCTTGAAGTTACATAGATATGTCTGTGAAGCACTGGATCTAAGATCTGGATCTGTGTACTGTATTTCTCCAGGTCAGCCCTGCAGGTACTGGACGTCTGTGGTCTGCAAGGAGACGAGGGAGGAATGGGGGACCCGATGGGAGGCTGGTCACTTACTGTGGCCCTTTGCACCATGGTCATACAGGCCAAAGCTGGAGCACACAGGACTCAGAGGAAAGAAGGAGACCGAGAGAGGAAACGATTCTCAGCCCTTGAGAGGGAAAGGGATTTAAAAAGAGAAAGAGGGCAGAGGACAGGACTGAAGGAGTTAAAGGACGATGAGACTTGCAGAGAGAAGACAAGATCCAAGAGTCCTGTCAGTGACGAAGAGCTTATAAAAGGGGTCAGAAGGAGGATGGAGATGGAAAGAAAAAGAGGGGTTGTAGGGACTGCCTCAGGCAGTAAACTTGAAACAGAAGAAAAAGAGACAGACTGGGAGGTGTTGGTACAGGTTAGGGCGGATATTTTTGTGAACGCCCGTTCTTGGGACCGTGTTCGTTTGGCTCTGAGCACATCAGGACCCTTGAAGCTGCAGTGCAGATACCTGCGAGTGGAAGAGATTTCAGTGACAAGCATCAGGACTCTGCTAAACCTTCTGCCTCGCAGGACGCTCTTAGGCATCGACATTCGTTACAGCAGCCTCGGTGTGGCTGGGTTAGCTGAACTATTGCCTCTTCTCTCCACCTTTCCTGAGCTGAACTCTCTGCGGCTGCATTACTGCAACCTGGACATTCGTAGAGATAACCTTGGCCAGGAGGGGGCCCTGAGGGACCTGTCACAGGGGCTTTCAAACCTGCAAGAACTGCGACAGCTCAGCCTCACTGCCCTGCGGCTGCCAGGACAGCTCCGGGTGTTGCTCAGGTATTTCGATCTCCTCATATGTGTTTTTTTATGGTTGGCTTGCTTGAAAAAACATGCATTTGTTAGAATGAGAAAAGCAAATTCCCGATTTTATTTTGGATGAGAAACTGTGGAAAGACTTTTAAGCTGAGCAGTTGGCAAAGGAAAAAATAAAAAGCAAAATCTCATTAACTACATGGATAGAAACCATAAGTCTTGCAGGTATCATTGCAGTGAAAAGTCATTCTGGAAAGTAGACTATTGGGCTGAATACACATGCACACCACACTTTTCAGATTCACTTTGTTTAAAAAAATCTTTTCACTCTGTAGCTATACCCTACGTTGTATCACTAAAATGCCATAAAATATAGACTACCGTAAAATATAGACTACATTTAAAATGAGAAGCAGAAATAGAATGTCATTAAAGGTTTTAACTTTTTCTTCTCCCACAGTTCTTTGCCTCAGCCCTTGGAGGTCCTGGAGCTTCCCTATTTAAGCCTGAGTCCAGCCGACCTCGCCTACCTGTCCTGCAGCCATCATGTCTCCTCTCTGCTGCAGCTGGATCTCAGTGAGAACTGTCTGGATGAAACCATGGTGCCCTCGATCCGCCGCCTCCTCTGCCAGGCCTCCAGCAGCCTGCAGCACCTCTCTCTGAGCGGCTGTGGTCTGACTGATGGCCTGCTGGGCATGCTGTTGTCCTCACTGGGCGGCTGCTGGGCCCTAAAGAGCCTGGCTTTAGCCCTGAACCCCCTGTCTAGGGCGGGTCTCTGTGAATTGATGCGGACAGCAGCAAGAATGCCCTGCCTGCGACTGTTGCTCTACCCAAACCCTCTGGAGGATTACCAGCCGGGGCTGCCTGAGCTACCTTCTAGCACCCAGCTGTTGGAGTGGCCTCTGGATGAATCCATAGATAACAACACAACCGGCAACGAGCTCAGCAAGGTGATTATGGACAGCGGACGCTCTGACCTTCTCTTGACCTGTGACCTGCTAAATTTTGATAAAGACATGGTGGACTAGAGAAGGGGCAAGGAGGTTTTAATTATTTTATCAAAGTAGTGAAAGAAAACCTGACAATAATGTTAAACCTCGTGAAAAAGCACATTGTAAGTTTTCATATGTATTTTCTCCTTTTGAGTCTGTTTCATAAGACAATCCTGGTTAACCGGATTTTATTTTCTTCTGAGTTGAAAAAAAAAATGTGTGTATCAAGAGCTAAAGCCACACAAAACTGACCCAGTATGTGATGCTTTCAAGGTTTGACTACACAGTTATAATCTGTCTGTAGCATATAAAATGCACAATTTTATGCTTCAACACTCATCTACCAATATATATTTTTTTAAATGTCAGCATCAATTTACAACAAATCAGTCTTAAGTTGATGTTCATGAGAATCTAGTAATATGAGAATAAGTTTCTTGTGTTTGAAAACAAAACTTTTATTACTAGTTTGTCTTAATAAAATGTGATATGTTTTCTTTTATTTCCATTTTTACTCTGTCTTGAAGACTGAGATGAAGCCAGTTTTATTTTTCCAGAATTGATTGATATACTGAAAGTCACAAATTATTGTCATAGTCAGGGCGTGACAGATTTTATTCAAATGAAGCACACAAAACCATGATAATGCAGATGGGATCCACTGTTGATCCTTTCCACTCTGCCTGGTGCTGCCAAACAACATAAAATGGGATATTTAGGGTTAATTTAACCAGTTTAGATCAATTACAGTGCAATTGAAAGTATTTACATCCCTTAAACATTTTGCCACATTACAACCATAAACCTAACTGTATTTTATTGGGATTTAATTAAATGGATCAAGACTAAGTAGTGCATAATGGTGAAGAGAAAGGAAGATTATGCATTGCTTATAAATGTTTAACAAATTAAAATGTCACTATGTGACCTATGTTACATTTTATTTGTGAACATTTATGAAACTTTCCTTTTCAGTTGTAAGCTACATGATGCTGAACTATTCCAAGTGTTGAATTAAGTTTTACGTGCTAATGTAATGCCGAGTCTCACAGCAGCAGATGCTCACACAGGATGCTAGTGTTTTTGCCCAAAATGCTAAAGATCACGGAGTAGGAAGCAGAGATGACATGGATAGAAAACATGAAAATAGGCTAAGATCACAACTGATTTCACATTCGCAATATTTACCAAAATTAACACTATGAAACGAGATATTTACAGGACCATGAACATTTTTACAAAGCACCGTATGCTTTTTGCCCAGTAATGATGTGATTTCTGTCTGATGGTTGGGTGTTTAGAACACCTAAAATGTCTTTGTGAGATCCTGAGAGTTGGGTGCAAAAAGAAAAAAATAGATCAGAGGCCTCAGAGTCTCAGAGAGCTCTTATAAAAACAAAACAAAAAAATATTCTAATAATTTTAAGCACCAAGAAGGATGTGTTTCAACAGCTCTCAATATCTGCATACAATATCTTCAAAAGAAGGCTTGTAAAATAATAATTAAAAGTTAAATTGCTCTTGTCTTGTTTTGACACATCTCTGCAGGTGGAAAAGGAGCCTTGCACTAATGAAGGGTAATAGATAAGCTACCAGGCTGCAATCTGACCTCAATGGCATTTATTTTTCATTAAGCAGTCGATCTAAGTCATAACTTGTCTCATTTGAGCCATTGTACTCCACATAAATAATATGTTGCCGTGCCAACCTAAAGGAGCACACATATGCTACTGTAATGTAATTGAAAGGACAGACTGTCTTTAGGTTTTCAGGAAAGCATTCAGGGTAGATAAAACTGGCTGTGCACAGAAGAAAACAGTGCAGCTCATCTGAAAAGCATACTTGATCTAATATAAAAAAGTGGAAGATAATTAAAAAAACATAAATATACACTTTATTTTTCTCAAAATCAAAAAAGGACACGTAAATGGGTGGAACGTTATTGAAAAAATATTACCACCAGATGGCGCTAAAAGATAATGCATGTCTTCATGTGCGACCCACTTCAAATTACTAGGCTAGAATAAAATCAGTATCAGTAATAAAAATCCAATATTCACCACACACAAGCAAATGGTTTCATTTTTACAGTTATTAGTATATTAAATGGAATACAAAAAAAATTCAAACTTGCTTTTTTTTTTCTCTTTTTTCTGCATTTTTAATCTAATGTAAAGTCTGAGCTGCTTTAGAAATATTATGTTCTGTTCTATTCTATTTTATTCTATTCTGCTGTAACAGATAAACCCACAAAGTAAACCTATTGAGAAACAGCAATAAAAATAGCTTAAAAAAAAACATTTATTGCCCTTTACAACATGATAACAACCCACAGGCAGGCAGACATGGTGAGTCATATCTCTTAGCACTGCGCACAGTAAGGGAAACGCAACAACACGTCTTCCTTAAGTCATAGAAGCAAAATGCTAAAATTGGAATTGTTTATAATGTGCTTTGTTTAAAATAACTTTGTTAACCAGCGGATGGCGTTACTGCTTGGCACAGTGTGGCTGCTTTTGGCCCTCAATTTTCTAATTGGCTCGGTGTTCGTCAGTGCTTGTTCACATCAGGAGTTTACCTGCCGTCAGGGATTTTGTGTGGCGTTGGACTCTGTGTGTGACTTCACCGACGACTGTGGAGATGGCAGCGATGAAGAAAACTGTAAGTTTACTATCCAGAATTTATAAGAGCCGGACCTGAAGTGGTGACTATGAATCTAGTCGAGAGAAAAACTAAATGCGCCTCATGGTTTATTGGCTTGTAGAACTAAATTTAGCAGCAATAACTGGTAGTAGTCAATACTTAACCTGTAAACCTGTTGCTGCTTCAGTTTATTGACCTTTGGAGACTTTTGTTTAAACAAAAGTCTCTAAAAGCCCGAGGAAGTTGTGTATACCTTACACTACCTCCTCAGGAAATCAGTTGGGTTGAGGTATGGACTTTGGGCTATTGCAACACCTTAAATTGTCTTTAAGCCATTCTGTTGTAGAGTTGGATTTGTGATCATTGTCTAATTAATCCACTACTTTCAGCCAAACTCCAGGCTCCAACAACAATTTGGTACAAAGAGAAAGTCAACGTTGGATCAGCCATTTCTTGTGGCTTCCAAACGAACCCAAATCTTCAAGACTGGCTGGTTTGCTTGCAGGATCACATTAGGTCCATCCAACAGCTCTGATCAGCTTTTCTGAATCTGCTGAATAAAGACATCCACACAATGTGACGCCGCAACCGCCATGTATGTTGACCACTGAGTAAAAGGTTGATATTATCTTATCTTATCTGCCCACAAGTTTTCAATTCAGTTCAGGTCAGGTGAGGAAGGGTGGCCATGTGATTAGTTTTTCATCTTTAACGCCTTTTCTGGCTAACAGTGCAGAGGAGTGCTTGGATGCTTGTGTATTGCATAATTATCACTGAGTTTTTGAAGGATGCAGACTTCTTCCTGTATCACTGCTTGAAGAACATATTATCTGTAGTTTTAAGAGTTGATTTTGAGCCCATCTTCAACCTGAAAATGTCCAACCAGCTCATCTTTAATAATACCAGCCCATAAGAGTACCCCACCTCCGCCTTGTTGGTGTCTGACTTGATGTGGAGCTTCTTGCTCGTTACTGATCCACCCACAGGCCCAACCATCTGGTCTATCTAGAGGCTCTTTCATTTCATCCATAAAACCTTTGAAAAATGTGTCTTCTGACATCTCTTGTCTCAGTCACTTCAGCTTGGAAGTCTTGATTTTATATTATAACTATCATTAAGGCAGAGAGGGGCATTGTTTAATATGTTCTAGAGAAAACCACAATTTTTTTTTTCTTTTTGAAAGAAAATATTTAGCTTAAGTGAACATTTGATATTACAGGTTCCACATATACAAGATGTGATTTCGAGGAGAATTTCTGTGATTTCATCCAAAACTCAAAGTCCCTCTACAGATGGACCAGAACAGATGAGGCTCCAGGACTTAGTCAGGACCACAGAAACACCTCAGGTTGGAGAAGCTGATATTCCTACAATAACATTGTATTAATCACACATCTTAGTCTTTAACTGTCTGGATTTTTTTTTTTTTTTTTTTACCCTCAGCACATTTTCTGTCACTTTCACCCATTGGAGGAAAAAAGATCACTGCAGAACTGAGGAGTCCTGTCTTCCTGCCAACACATGGCTGCCAGGTAACTATGTCGCAGAGGACAAGCAATGTCTTTAAAAGTTTAGGAAATAGTCTGAGCATTTTTCAAGTCTGGAAATATATTTATAGAAAAAAATAATACCATAGTAGGATTTACTATACTGCAGTGGACTAGCAAACTGTCCAGGGTACAGCCTGCCTCTCGTTGAGCTAGGCATCTGCACCCCTTGCAACTTCATAAGGGTTAAGCATGTCAGATAATGGATGGATTCATTTGACAACTCTTCCCCCCGTTCCTTTTTCCAGAACGCTAAAACCTGATACTCTAATAATAAATTGATATACTGTTAACAATTATCACTACAAAATAAATCTGATATTTCTTGATATGACATGTTGAATCCAACCTGCAGAGGTAGGATGTGTAAAAATATATTTCTTAGGAAGACATGTTGGATTTTCAATATGGTTGTGTGCACAATTTTGGAGCTCTTAAAGTGTGTCTTACAAAAAACAACAACACCTAGTTAAAGTTAATGTGTTATGTAGTCTGAAAAATGAGCTGTTTCAAAAATCTCCTGATTGTTAAGTCACATTCTACCATCACTGCGTTGTTACATAACCCCAGCAATTCCAGCCTGTCACCTGGCAGGGAAGATAGTGATGCTAAACTTTAAACTGTGAAAAATAAACTTGGTCACAATAAATCTTTGAACTTGCATGTCAAAGATGCCCTAATAAAAATCCATTAGGATATTTAAGAATTTGAGTCTTAGAAAAGTATCAGAACACACATTTGGAAACGAGAGATTTTGTATAGTCAGAATAAAGAGCGCCAACATGTTCTTTGTTTCCATCAGATACGTTTCTACCACTATGCTGGGACAGGACATGGAGAGCTTCAGATCCTACTTCAGCCTCATTTGGTGGCTCAGAGCTCTGAACTCTGGAAACACTCCACTCAACTAGAGAAGGGAACATGGCTGCGGGCAGTGATTCACTTCTCCAGCAATCAACGCTTTCAGGTCTGTCATAATTACACAATAAGTTTGTATAATTGTTTGACGTTAAAATTGAAATCGCAGCTTAAATGAGCTGAGCGATAGCAAAGTGCACCGGGGAAGTATACTGACCCATTTGGACTTCTCAGAGACCATCTGGATGTAAGTTTGTTAGTGTCCTTTCAATATCTTCAGAACATGTCAGTGTCACCCAGTCCTCTTCTCTGCCTCTTTACCATCTGGATGTCTGTAGGTGATAAAGAGAGGTCACATCTGCTGACATTCACTTTCTGCTCCATTAATTCACTCCCTGTTTCAGTGGTATTGGTCAGCATGTTTAGGAGCTTGATTTCACTGTGAGGCCAAAAG